TTCTATCAGATAACTCTGATCTTCCATAAGGAAATAAATTAAAAAGAATAACGCTCTATAATGAATTATTATTGAGTATCCATTAAAAACTTGACTAAAAATGTAAAATTACATACGTGGCTAACATTACATTTCTATCAGATAACTCTGATCTTCCATAAGGAAATAAATTAAAAAGAATAACGCTCTATAATGAATTATTATTGAGTATCCATTAAAAACTTGACAAAACATGTTCAATGACAAGGGCAAAAGCTTACAACTAACTATTAGCTATTAGGTGAAAAAAACAAAATACAAAACAATATCATCTCCACTATGTGAAGAGAAAGAAAAGCAGAAGAAAAATAGAAGACTAAAAATATGCCACAAATGTTTAACAGTGACCTCTGGGCGTAGAACTGCAGTGGTGATTTTTAAAAAACATCTTTCGTTTCTTTCCTTTAAAAAACACACACACATTTCATGTTTTTACAGTAAAGTATATATTATTTTTATAACAAGGAAAAAATTAAAAATTTATCACCACAAATTACCTTGCCCTATTACTGCAACCATTTGGGCAAAATAATTAACTTAATCTTTAAATTATCTCTTTAAAATATCTTTAAATTATTATTACTAGCATCTTTGAAAAACAATAAAGTTGTCTCTTGAAATTTAGAAGGATTTTGCTTACCACGTGCAGAACCTTAATCTCACAAGCTATTTGCCAGAGCACACTCAACACGTCATACAAGTTTGAATTTTTATTTGCCATTAGTTTCTAGAAAAAGGGAAAATAAAAATTATACATTATATACACTTATAATCAATCAAAATAAAATGTTGGACCTTAATACTAGTATCTTAATAGCATCTAGGAATGTAAGTAAAGAAAATTAGAATTAGATACAAAAATGCAGGCAGTGCCATATGCCTGTAGTCTCAGCTGCTCTAGAAGCTCAGGCAGGAGGATCACTTGAGGCCAGGAGTTTGAGACAAGCCTGGGTGATATACTGAGACCCTGTCTCAAAAACAAACAAACAAAAAATTAAGTGTCAAATCTTAACCATTTAGAAGAGTCTTTAAACTTTCATGTTGAAAATATTAAGTCATTATTCTGCTTGGAATGGATGCTAAATAAAAAAAAAATTAAGTCATTAAATATGGAATGCCCGGTTTCGAATCAAAAGTGTAGTTTATTATATACAAACAAGAAAACAGTATAATTAATCAAAGCATGCACCTAAACTACTGACAGTTTTGCCACTTAAGGGTAGCTTGTTTATGCTACCAGTGAAGAAGCCTGGAGAACGAGTGGCGATGAAATCATGAAAGGCGTTTTCCACGGCTTGTTGAGAATCAAATATTTTTCCTTGCAAGAAGTGGTCCAAATCCTGGAGGAAGTGGTAGTCAGTTGGTGCAAGGTCTGGTGAATATGGCGAATGACAGAGTTTCTCAGTCCAGCTTCTGTAGTTTGAGCAGTGTTGTTTGTGAGACATGTGGGTGAGCGTTGTCTTGCAAAAGGATTGGTCTGTCTCTATTGGACAATCTCAGCTGCTTAATCGCAAGCATCCTCATCATTTCATCCAATTCATAGCAGTAGACATCTGCTATAATCAATTGACCAGGTTTGATGAAGCTGTAGTGGATAATACCAGCGCTGGACCACCAAACAGACACCATTAGCTTTTCTTGATGAATATTTGGTTTTGGACTGTGTTTCGGCACTTTATCTTTACCCAACTGTTGTGCTGAATGCTTGCAATTGTCAAAAAGAATCCACTTTTCATCACATGTAACAATCTGGTGTAGAAATGGTTTGCCTTTATGTCATGACAGCAAAGAAAGGTAAGCTTAGAGATGATGTCTCTTCTGATGCTTGCTTAATTCATGTAGAACCCATTTATGCAGCTTCTTTACCTTGATGATTTGTTTCCAATGGTCCAATATTGTTGGAATAGTAACATCAAACCTTGCTGCTAACTCACACGTAGGTTGAGATGGATTTGCTTCCTCTACAGCTTCCAGCTGATCATGATCCGCCTTGGTCTCAGGTCACCTACCTGGCTCATTTTCAAGAATAAAATCACCAGAACAGAACTTCTCAAACCATCGAGGTACTGTGTGTTCATTAGCCACATCCTTCCCAAACGCTTCGTTGATATTTCGAACTGTCTATGGCACTGCATTGGTTCCATGACGAAACTCATTTTTGACTTATCCACGGTATCACAAAAATTTCTCTAAAAAAGACGTGAAAGATAATCACATGCCAAACTGTGTGTTTGAAAGAATGACGATGTAACTTCAAAATAAAAATAAAATAAGAAGTGTCAAAGTGAAATGTCAGAGGTATCAACTATCAAAACTAATACTTCAGAAAGTCAAACATTTCATACTTAATAATCTAATATATCATCTTGTACAGTTAAAAATGTAATGTATTTGAGACTGATTTCCTTTAATCATATGGCCTATCAGGGCTAAATCTCATTAAAGAACAATTGAAACAAAAATGTATACTAGGCCAAGTGAGGTGGCTCATGGCTGTAATCCTAGCACTTTGGGAGGCTGAAGGCCAGGAAGTTCAAGACTAGCCTGAGAAAGAGCAAGACCCTGCCCCTATAAAAAATAGAAAAAAATTAGCCAGGCGTGGTGACATGCACCTGTAGTACCAAGTACTCAGGAGGCAGGAGGATTGCTTTAGTCCAGGAGCTTCGAGGTTGCAGTGAGCCATGACGACAAAACTACACTCTAGCCTGGGTGACAGAGCAAGACTCTGTCTCAAAAAAAAAAAAAAAAGTACAATAACCAATCATTTAGTTATAGAAGTAAACAAAATAAATAATTTCTGCCCTATAGATCCTATAACACAGCAGGTTAGAAAAACATTAGCTAATTATATGAATAATTAAGCTGTGGTGTATACTGTGGAAAAGGAGAGGTGTGTTAGAAGTATGTATCACGTGAGCTATTTTTTTTTTTTATTTCACCATATTATGGGGGTACAGATATTTAGGTAATATATGTTGCCCTTGCCTCCCCACTCCCCCCCAAGTCCGAGTTTCAAGTGTGTCCATCCCTTGGATGGTGCGCATTGCACTCTGTGTATGCAAATACCTGTCCCTTCCTCCCCGCTCCCCCCTGCCCAATATCCAATAGATGTTATTCTTATATGTACACTTATGTGTTGATCAGTTGATACCAATTTGATGGTGAGTACATGTGGTGCTTTTTTTTCCATTCTTGGGATACTTCACTTAGTAGAATGCATTCCAACTCTATCCAGGAGTATACAAGAGGTGCTATATCACCATTGTTTCTTAAAGCTGAATAGTACTCCATGGTATACATATACTGCATTTTATTAATCCACTCATGTATTGATGGACACTTGGGTTGTTTCCACATCTTTGCAATTGTGAATTGTGCTGCTATAAACATTCGGGTGCAGGTGTCTTTCTTATAGAGTATCATTTGTTCTTTTGGGTAGATGCCCAGTAATGGGATTGCTGGATCGAATGGTACTTCTACTTGTATCTCTTTAAGGTATCTCCATATTGCTTTCCACAGAGGTTGCACTAGTTTGCAGTCCCACCAGCAGTGTATGAGTGTTCCTATCTCTCCACATCACGCCAACATTTATTGTTTTGAGACTTTTTGATAAAGGCCAGTTTCACTGGAGATAAATGATATCTCATTGTGGTTTTGATTTGCATTTCCCTGATGATTAGAGATGTTGAGCATTTTTTCGTGTGTTTTTTGGCCATTATTCTGTCTTCTTTTGAAAAGTTTCTGTTCATGTCCTTTGCCCACTTTTTGATAGGGTCGTTTGATTTTTTCTTGTTGATTTTCCTGAGCTCTAATTAGATTCTGGTTATCAGCCCTTTATCGGATTTGTAGCATGCAAAAATTTTCTCCCGTTCTGTAGATTGTCTGTCTGTGAGCTATTATATTTTGAGTCAAGAATTGTTAATGCTGAAGAATGCAAGATTACCTTAGTGAATGAGAGAGCCCTACAGAGAGAGGAAACCACATGTAATGAGGTCCATGGTAAAAGAAGCAAGGGCCATTGGAACATTATCCTAGCAGGAGAATAAAAATCTGATGAAGCATTTCCTATTTTTCTTCCTTTTATTCCTTTGTTTATATATTATATGTATAGCCTCACCAAGGTTCTGAGCCTCCTGCTCTCTTTCCATGCCTAGTCAGTATTTAGTTACTATATGGGTCTGGGAGTAAATCATCTCTTCATTTCTTGCCCTACTATGCTAACCCTTAGCTCTCTTATATACAAATAAGCATTTCCTGTTATATTGTATTAACAGATTAATAACACAAAGCATTCTGGGCAGAAAAGAAAGATTACTCTCACAGCAATATTGAGGTCATCAGGAGGCCCTTCCATTACAAAGAATAAAAGGTAGAGTCTAGAACCTTACAGATTCCACAAAAAAATCCCGTTAGAACTAACAAGCAAATCCAGCGAAATTGCAGGACACAAAATAAACACACAAAAATCAGTTGTATTTTTATACACCAGCAATGGACAATTGGAAAAGCAAATTAGAAAAATAATTTCATTTACAATAGTATCAAAAATAATTTAAAAAACTAAAAATTAACGAGCAGCGGAGGAAGTGCACCGGCAGGCAGATTCACTCAATCACTTAAAACCTGAAAACACTGGACCACACAGTCTTACTGATTTCAGGTAAAAACAGTTATCGAAGATGTCCAGCAAAACAGCAAGCACCAACAACATAGCCCAGGCAAGGAGAATCGTGCAACAGTTAAGATTAGAAGCCTCCATTGAAAGAATAAAGGTTTCAAAAGCATCAGCGGACCTCATGTACTACTGCGAGGAACATGCCAGGAGTGACCCTTTGCTGACAGGGATACCAACTTCAGAAAACCCTTTCAAGGATAAAAAAAACTTGCATCATCTTATAGTGGAATAGTGAGTGAAACAGCTCCTCGCCTCTCCACAAAGCAACAATGAGCAGCTCCTTGAAGAGATTTACCTTCAGCTTATTTGGTAACCACTGCTAATAACTAAAATGCTCTTAGCTTGGAATAATGGACTCTGAAGTCTTTATATTCTAAGTTCCTCTTTCTCTAAAATACCCTATACGGAATAACAGTCTTGTTTTCCATGTGGTAACTATGGTGTTATACTGGGTTACTGTTTAAGGAAAGTTGGTCTGGGTCTTTTTAAAAGCACAATTATATACTTTCGATATATAGTTGATTCAGATGTGTCAAAACCTAAATTGCTTAAGCATCTGCTAAATCAAAATGCCAAGAATAACTCAAATCCTGAAACCTTTGTATCATAACGTGTTCTTAGTAAGGTTGTGCCAACCTGTATAGTATACAAGGGGGAGGGGTGTTTTTTGTATACATATATGTCTTTGTGTATACATATATCAAAGTTATTTTCTTATGGAAACTTCCCTTTCACTATACCATCAGTTTCTCAGTTCCAGAAGTTATATCTTTATCTTGAACGGTGAGTAAATAGAATAAAAAAGTCTTTCATAGTTATTGTACAAAAAGTAAAGAACATCCCAAAGATTGTATTCACTATAATCAAGTAATGTAGTCATCTCTCCTCTCTTGAAATCTTTCTGGACTTCTTAGGCTGTGATAAACTGTGCCAGTTAGAAATTTTAAACTGAAAAAAAAAAAAAAAACAACTAAAAATTAACTTAACCAGGGAGGTGAAAGACTTGTACACTAAAAAACTACAAAACATTGCTGAAAGAAATTAAAGACACAAATAAATTTTTGTGTAATTATTTTGTGTAAATAAATTTTTGGTAATATTGTCAACACTATACGAAGTGATCTACAGATTCAATACAATCCCTAAGAAAATTCCAACGATTTTTGAAGAAATAGAAAAATCCATCCTAAAATTGATATGGAATCTCAAGGAACCACAAATAGCCTAAAAAATCATGAAAAAGAATAAAGTTGGAAGACTCATAGTTCCTGATTTCAAAGCGTACTACACAGCTATAGTAATAACAGAGTGTGGTATTGGCAATAAGGACAAATATATAGACCAGCGGAAGACAAAGAGAGCCCAGAAATAGACCCTCACATACAAGGTCAAATGTTTCTGATGCGGATGCCAAAGCATTCAATGGGGGAAAGAGCAGTCTTTTCAACAAATGGTTCTGGAAAAACTAGGTCTCTACATGCAAAAGAATGAAGTTGGACCCTTACCTGACACCATATATAAAAATTAACTCAAATGGATCAAAGACCTAAATATAAAAGCTAAAATTGTAACACTCAGAAGAAAACGTAGGGGGAAAGGGAAAGCTTTCCAATATTGGATTTGGCAATGATTTATTACACATGACAGGAAAGGCACAGAAACAAAAGAAACAAATAGACAAATTTGACTTCATCAAAACTACAACTCTGGCATCAAAGGACACTGTTAATAGGGTAAAAAGGCAACCCAAAGAATGGGAGAAAATACTTGCATATTACTTACCTGATAAGGGATTAATAACCAAAATATATAAAGAACTACTAAAACTCAGTAATAAACAAAAATGCCTGATTAAAAAAATGGGCAAAGGACTCTAATGCACATTTCTCCAAATAAGATATACGAATGACTGGTCAGTAAGTACATGAAAAGATGTTCGACATAACTAATCATTAGGAAAATGCTAATCAAAAATACAAAGAAATACTATTTAAGCCGGGTGCAGTGGCACACATGTACAAACCCAGCAACTTGGGAGACTGAGTCAGGATGATCCCTTGAGCCCAGGAGTTCAAGAGTTTGAGACCAACCTGGACAACATAGTAAGATCCCATCTCTAAAATAAAAACCAAAAAAAGAAAAGAAATACCACTTCACACTATCAGGATGGGTATTATCAAAAAAAAAAAAACCCAGAACACAAGTGTTGGTGGGAATGTAAAATGGTGCATTCACCGTGGAAAACAGTATGGCTGTGCCTCAAAAAATTAAGAATAGAATTACCATATGATCCAGCAATTCCACTTCTAGATACATACTCAAAAGAACTGAAAGTCAGTACTTTAAGAGATATTTGTAAATTCATGTTCATGGCAGCATTATTCCCAATAGCCAAAAGGTGGGAGCAACCAAGTTTCATCGACGGATGAACGGATACACAGATTGTGGTGTACACATACAATGGAATATTATTCAGCCTAAAAGAAAAATGAAATTCTAATGTATGCTATAATATGAATGAACCTTGAAAACACTACATTAAGTGAAATAAGCCAGACACAAAAGGACAAATACCATATGACTGCATTTATATGAGGTATCTAGAATAGTCAAATTCACACAGACAGAAAGTAGATCAATGGTTACTAGGGGATGGGGAGAGGTGAATGGGGAGTTAGTGTTTAACGCATACAGAGTGTCATTACGGGATAATAAAAATTTTGGAGATGGATGGTGGTAATGGTTGCACATTACGAATGTACTCAATGCCACTGAACTTTATAGTTTAAAAACAACCTGAATTAAAGACTGCTGTACAGAAATTTTTAAAAAATCTTAGTATTCTTGAATGTCATGAGTCCTAAATTAAAATTGCACAGATTTAAACTACTCAGAGAAAATTCACAGAACTCTTTCAAAACAAAAATTAGGTACTTACTAATAACCTACCTGGTATTCTTTTTCACCAATAAACATATTTAGCTCTATTCGTCCATATCTATATATAGAAGTACAGGCATATAGGTTATATAAAAATTTCCAAAGTGTCCTTCTTTCATTTTTAATTGGGAAAATTCCAATTACTTTTAAAGGAATACCTGTTAGGAATACAAGCAAAAACATCTGAATAAAGTTCTTAACACTTTTTCCTATGACCATATTTTATTGAGACAAACTAAGTTAACAGACTATATTAATTTAAAGTTTACTTCAAGTAAAACTAAGCCTCAGCATCTTTCTTTGATAATGAACTTGGCCTTTGGGAAAATAAACTGGTTATTTGTGTCCAGATGAGGGAAATGCCATATTCAGTGTAAAAGCATCTGTTCACAAATTGTACAATATAAATTGTATGCAAATCTTGTCAGCAAATCAGATATACTGCTAAAGAAAGCTGACAAACTACAAGGCATTTACTTTAGTGAATGAAAAAAATTACCAGCTGACCAAGGACGTGCTTCTATCCCCAAATTCTGAAAAAGCGTATGTGAAACCATAGTAGGTGGTCTTACTAGTCCACCACCTCTAGGATCGATTTTAAAGAAGTCACAGTGGATGACTTCTAGACTTCCAGGCAGATTTTTTCTTAAGGACTAAAGAGAGACAGAGATAACATGTTAAAAAAAATTCAGCATTAAGCAGACTTTGCAACAATTCAAAGATGTACTTTAAAAAATAAGAATAAAATATTAGCCAATTCAAAGATCTTCTTACGAAAAATATTACCACCTCCATAAAGATGTAAAGAACATATTACTAATATACCTAAAATTTAACAAAAGAAAGTCAATTAATGCCTGAAAAGTGGTGAAAGTACAATAATATTACCAAGCAAAACCCCCCAAAACAGAAATAACCTTCAACAAATTCTTACTTATCCTTTTATTTTCTTTACTCTTTCATAACGGTTTCAGCTGTTTAAAAAGCTTCTTTATGCTAATTTCCAATTACTTAGTAGTGGCTACTTGGAGTACTGGGCAAAGATTCTGAGATGACAGGTGGGCTTAGGCAGAGAACTTTGAGCCATAGTGGTCAGAAGAAGCAGCAATGGATGATGTTCCATAGCAGAAAAAACAATTACAATATTAAAGTGAAAAAGGCAGATTCAAGAGAGTATCTCTTTTTTTCTAGAGAAATCTAGTCAGTCATCTGGCAAATGGACTTAGCTCATTGTGTAGGTCACTCTCCATCTTCCCCTTAATTTTTCATTTACTTTTTCTAAAGACAGAAGCAACCACAGATCTTGTCTACTGGAAGAGGTCCAATATACCTCAGTCTTCTCATTGTCCTGATCGCTCATCTCACAGTAGCACTAGAAACCTTAGTAGTTAGGGGCAAGAATTCACTACAGACTTCATAAGCTTAATTTAAAGTCACAAAAGAATTAGAAGAGGGCAATATGTTTTTGATGTGCACACTGAGGTTTCTGTGCACAGAAAATTCTATTAGTATTAAGGTTTAAAATGATTTGGCAATTTAAAGTTATACATTCAAAAATGTAATTTTCCTTAAGCATTTGAGTTCAACCTATAAATATTATTCTATTTCTAAATCTAGTAAATCTTAACAATCACTTTCAAGGGAACCCTTTAAAAAGACTAGAGGAAGGAAAAGGCGTGGGGTTGGAAATCATATATATTTGGTCACACTGATTTTGAGATGTGTCCTATGTGATCCAAGTAGAGATGCCAGGTAGGAAGTTGTATACCTGAATAAGGAACTCAGTGGAGTGGTCCAGACTGAAGAGATAAATTTGTGAGAATCTGGCTTGTTGAAGGTAATTTAAGCCAGGCGTGTAGATCCCTGGGGAGAAATATAAGAGACTAGGCCTGAAGATGGAGTAACTCCAAACTCTAATGACAAGAAGCTGAGAACGATACAAGAAAGGAAAGGAGAAAACCAGAAGAGTATGGTGTCATGGAAGCTAAAGGAGAAGAGTACTCATATAATGCATGCGATTATCTTTAAACTCTAAAAATTAGTCAACATGTATAACATTAAATAATCTCACAAGTTATCAAAGAGACATTTTAATCTTTGTAATTAAGGAAAACTAATGAATTTTGGTTTGATGAAAATATAAATAAACAATGTATACTTTTGACTTCCTTATATTTGTATTCTGAGAGGGCACCATATATTTTGCTTTAGCACATCTATCATTAACATTCAACAACAGTTCAAATGTGGTAACAACCAAAGCTCCATGATAAGTAATTCAATTCCTACAATAACAGTGAAATCAAATTTGAAAATTCAACTAAATTGCATTTAAGATTCAAAAACAGGAAGCAAAAAAGAGGAAAGAAAAATAACTCCTGAGTTTCTACTAGTCATAAAGTTAGGCACTTTATTTAAGTTTGTCTCATTTAAATCTCACCAAAATCCCAAACATCTCTTATTTTGTATATGAGATAAGCCAAGGTTCAGACAGGTTAAATTACCTATTTGCCCAAGAGTCTCAAAGCTAAGAAGTGCTAGGGCTGAGATTCACCCTTCTCTGAAAAAACTTTGCTCTATCCCTGCTATAATAAGACTGGGTTTACCACAAAAGCTGACATCTCTTCAACTGAACACATATAACTATTTCTGCAACAAGAGTTTTCAAGGATCAAAGGGATATACCATACCATGATTTACCATATGGAACACAATTAGCAACATTTGTATCTCTAGCCCATTCATATCGGAAAATAAACTATTCCTGTCTGAAATACTGTTACTGTGGAGTCCTAGAAGTTTTATGAGGGAAATGGGGAGGAGGAAGATTCTAAAGTTGGATAGAAATCCAGACTGAAGTATCATCCTTGAAAATCCTTACAGTTTTTAGGAGCAAACTTGAGAGCCTTTAGGTTGCCAGAAGCATTGTCTGATAAGAATACCACTTTAAGTCTCCAATTTTGGGCCACAAAGGTTCTATGTACCCATTGTTACTTCTCTTTTATTTTGGCAAATGGATGAAGTCCCATAAAACTTTATTTGAAGGGCCTTTCAATTTACGTAACAATGGATAATAAAAGTGAAAGAACATGTATTAAGAACAATTTAACACTGCTAGTGGTGACAAGAAAATAAAAGAAGTAGAGCAAAACTAGTTCTAAATCAAAGACTGGATTTAGTCAATAATGTTCAGATTTTTAAGCTTAAACTTATAGTTTTAAAAACATTTTATTACTGATATCCCTGTAAGAATTACTGTGTGCCAAAATTTCTCTAGTCTCTAATCCTTTTTTCATTAAAACAATTGTTCTTATTTTTTGAGATAGAGTCTCACACTGTCGCCCTGGCTAGAGCACAGTGGCATCTTCGTAGCTCACTGCAACCTCAAACTCCTGGGCTCAAGCCATCCTCCTGCCTCAGCCTCCTGAGTAGCTGTGACTACAGGTGCATGCCACTACACCCAGCTAATTCTTTTTTTTTCTATTTTCAGTAGCAACAGGAATCTCACTCTTGCTCAGGCTGGTCTCGAACTTTTGAACTCAAGCAACCCTCCTGCCTCAGCCTCCCAGAGTGCTAGGATTACAGGCATGAGCCACTGTGCCCCCAGCCAAAACAACTGTTTTTAAATTCAGCTGTTGTTATCTTGAAGATCTTTTTTTTTTTTTTTGAGACAGAGTCTCGCTTTGTTGCCCAGGCTAGAGTGAGTGCCGTGGCTTCAGCCTAGCTCACAGTAACCTCAAACTCCTGGGCTCAAGTGATCCTCCTGCCTCAGCCTCCCGAGTAGCTGGGACTACAGGCATGTGCCACCATGCCCGGCTAATTTTTTCTGTATATATATATTTTTAGTTGTCCAGATCATTTCTTTCTATTTTTTAGTAGAGACGGGGTCTCGCTCTTGCTCAGGCTGGTCTCAAACTGCTGACCTTGAGCGATCCACCTGCCTCGGCCTCCCAGAGTGCTAGGATTACAGGCGTGAGCCACCGCGCCCGGCCTATCTTGAAGATCTTACAGTAAAGCAACTATTATGGTATAGGATAACCAACTTTAAATAGAAACAAAGACATTTTAATGCCATCTTAATTTTTTTGTTGTCACCCTCTTGTTTTTGAGACATGGTCTGATGTGCAGCCTGGAACGCCTGCGCTCAAGTGATCCCGCAGCTGGGACTACGGGTGTGCGCCATCAAGCCTGGCCCATCCTGCACTTTCAGATAAAGCCATTCTGCATAATTTCACGAAGTTGGCATAGAGAAGTGAAAGTTTCCTAAATTGAATCTAGAGATTTATAAAGGAGGAAGGGAGACAAAGACAAAGAAAAGAGGAAGCTGGCTAATGATGCAAGGAATTTCCACTTCTTTACTATTACGTGAACTTGTCTGCTATGTAAGAAGCAGAATCGCTGAAAAATCCATCCGGATAACGCCTTCACTCTACAAAACCATATCTGACAACAGGTTGAGCATCCCTAATCTGAAAATCTGAAGTGCTCCAAAATCTAAAACTTTTTGAGTGCCAACATGAAACCACAAGTGGAAAATTCCACACCTGACCTCGGCTGATGAGTTTTAGTCAAAATGTGGGCTCATAACACACAGTTCATTCATGTCAGTTTATAAAATTAGACTTCAAAGAGGCAGATGATTCTGGAGGAAACGTTTAAAAAAAGCATTCAGCGGCCGGGCGTGGCGGCTCACGCCTATAATCCTAGCACTTTGGGAGGCTGAGGCAGGCGGATTGTTTGAGCTCAGGAGTTCGAGACTAGCCTGAGCAAGAGCGAGACCCCGTCTCTACCAAAAATAGAAAGAAATTAATTGGACAGCTAAAAATATATAGAAAAAATTAGCTGGGCATGGTGGCGCATGCCTGTAGTCCCAGCTACCCAGGAGGCTGAGGCAGGAGGATCACTTGAGCCCAGGAGTTTGAGGTTGCTGTGAGCTAGGCTCATGCCACGGCACTCCAGCCCGGGCAACAGAGTGACACTCTGTCTCAAAAAAAAAAAAAAAAAAAGCATTCAGCAAAATGCCACTTTATGCCTAGAGGACCCACTTCCTGGATCCTTAACCGTTTCTGATGTTTCTTCTCACCTAAAAAAAAAAAAAAAAAAACGGTATACAGCAACCTTCTAATCAAAACAGCATTGTAAGTAGAGACTGAAAGCCTGCTGTGGTTTGTTGCTGCTGTTGTTTAACAGCTGATGATAAGTATTCTGGTGATGCTACCGTGCTGCTTAGTTAGCTGGAACACATTATTTTTTCACTGTACTAATGGTCTGTCATATTTTTTAGTTAAGTACTTACGTGTAACTAAGTATATAAGAAAATAATTACTTATTGGTAGCACATAAATTCAGAGTTGGGAATGATGGTACTGCCAAACAACCAAGCAACCACAGATTGTACACATGGCTGAGAAGGTGACACCTTTGCTTTCTGATGGGGTGATGTACACAAACTTTTTTCATGTACAAAATTATTTAAAATATTGGATAAAATTACCTTCAGGCCATATGTTTAAGGAGTATATGACACATAAATAAATTTTGTGTTTAGATTTGGGTCCCATCTCCAACATATCTCATTAAGTATATGCAAATATTCCCAAATCTGAAAAAATTCCAAGTCCAAAATACTTCTGGTCCCAAGCATGTCAGATAAAGGATACCCAATTTGTATATCAAACCTTTTTTGCTTTTGAAATCCTAAACCCAGAGTTTACATAGACCCATTAACCTAATTTTAGCACTCACTCCAGTTAGATTACAAACTCACAGAAGGCAGGCTCACAGCATAGCCTACCAGAGTTGAGGAAATAAGTCTAACAATATCAGTTATATACGCTATTCAAAGTTATTTAACTAGTCTGTAGCAGAGCTAGAACTAGAAAACAAGTCTTGGAACTCCTAATCTTTCCGTCTTTCAACAAATACTGAATATTTACTGCATTCCAGTTAATGAGGGTAAACAAGATATTTAAGACATGGCCCCTAAAAGATACTTTATAATAACAGTGTGTTTAATTCTACTTCCCTATGACACTCAAAGGTAGTTGACTGAACAATAACATACTTTTAGAAACTAAAAATATACCTCCAAATGTGGAATAAATGTTCTGTCACTTTCGAGAGCAACCACTTTGGCACCAGTTCTAAGTAATGCCTGAGTCAGGATTCCAGGACCTAGCATATTAACAGAATGAAAAGTTTATTTGGAAAAGAAACAACATACATTCTTTAACTTTTATTACATGTCTTACACTGATTATCTAATTTTAAACCTCACAACAACCCCAAAGTAGATTTTACTCTCCTTTTTATGTATAAGGAAACTGGAGAACTGGAGATTAAGTATAGTCACTTGACTCCAACATCACAACTAGCAAGTGTTACAGCTTGGCTTTGAAACCATTCTGACAGTGACTGCAAAACTTGCAGTCTTAATCACGTTTCATAACCTCGTGGAAGAAAAAAACCAACAAAAAGGGTTGCCTCTAGCCTACCACTTACGGACTATCTGGATGCTTTAACCAAGATATTGTCACGTGTAAACAGGACTGACTCTCCATGACAGGAAACAGCGCTTTAAAAAATTATTATTCAAAGATTCTATAAATTTTGTGTTCTCAGCATCCTGCTATGGTTTTTAGGAGATGCACGGAAGGATATGATAAAATTATATTTTTTAGAGGGTGGGGCTTGCAATTATTTTGGGGAGATGATGAAATCTAAGAGTATGTTTTAGCAAAATATTGTGTAAAGTGCAAATTGCCACAGAAATATTTTGTGGTGCCATTATCAAAACAATCTCTCCAATTAAGGTGCTTAAAGGAAAGGGCAGTGTCTTAAAAAACACCCCCAGAGTGGCCAATAAAAATCTGCAGAAGTGATGAACATCCAAGAAAATGCAATCCAGCTGGACTCACCTGGATTGCACTCCAGGAGTAGGTGACGAGGTCTTTCTAGTTTCCCCCGCAGGATTTGCGCCACGGTCTCGGCCAATCTCCGACTGGTTACGTAGCGCTTAGGCTCTAAGCGGCACTTGGACACCGAAGAGGGAGATTCGTTGAAATCCGGATAGGGCAACAGCTGCGGGTAGGAGTCAGAGAAGCCACGGTGGTTCTTCGCCGGGAAGTGCTTTCGCGTCGACGCTCCAGATTCCCAAATGCAAAAGCGACCAGCGCCCGCCAAGGCTGAAAGCTTCAGCCGCGGAGGAAGCCCCGCCACTGGTACCCACATGTCCTTGCCTCTAAGGTCCTCCTCAATGATCACCCAGGGTCGCTACTTCGGCGAACTCCACGTAGGGCATCCCACGTGCAACATTTCCTTGCAGCCGGACCAGGCCCGGCGGAAGTAAACACTACAAAGCGCGCATGTGAACCACCGATTTCTCTCGCTTTTCTGCCTCACTTCCGCTTCCGTCCCGGCTCAGGGCTCAAGGATTGTGAGTGGCCTAATGAGGAGAGAGACAGATCATCCGGGTTGTGTTCGGACTCGTATACTCTATGGTTGTCCGCTTTCTGCGCTTCCTCTCTAGCCGCTCGCGCTCTATGCTCCGCGGTCGCGGGCCGCCTGCCGCCAGCCGGCCAGCCGAGAGGGGTGCGCAGGGGGAGGCGGGGCGGAAAGGCAAGAGGTGTCTCTTCCACCGGAGCCGCGGGAGACCCGAGCAATCTCTGTGACAGCACGTCGGCCGCCATGTCAGAGAGTGGGACTGGAAACAGACCTGGCGCCCAGCGGTAGCCTTCCTTTCGCCTCCGATTCCCAGGTGAGGAGCGGAAGAGCGGAATGCTGGGGACCCGCCGGCTCGCGGCGGGGATGGAAAGCCTTTCGGGAGCCCCTCACTTCTCCCCCCGCGCTGTCCTCCTCCAGCAGCGCCGCCTCTGCCCTCTTGGTTAGGTGTAGTAGGGTTCCCTCACCTCCACCCCCTCTTCGGTCTCCTGTTTTCCTCTCTTCTCCAGCCACTGTGGGTCTCCTCTTCCTGCGCAACGCGCCAATTTCTCCCCTCACTAGGGGACTAGCGCCAGAAGTCATTCCTCATCCGGCTCCCTGAGGAGCCTGCGGCTTCCACTGTGTCTCTATTCCGTTCTGTCCTGTTGCCCACAGCTCGGTTTCTCCACCCTTGTGGGTGGTTTTCATTTTTCACTCGTACCTGGTCCCCCCCCACCACCACCATTACCACTTGGGTTGTTAAAAACCACCTGGTGTCTCCCTTTCGTTGCTCCTTCTGGGCCAATATTTACCTTAATTTTTCATTTTTAATTTGTGTTTGAAACACTTAAAATTAGGGTTACAAAATTAAGATTTAGAAGCTTATAATTCCTTCTTAAACGTAAAAAGATTAAGACCTTTGAATGCTTATTTTATCCCCTGTATAAACTTAGTCAAACACATTCTACTGTGGAATGCGATTTAAAAGAGCAATCCCAAAGACTAAAAATAGGATGCAGTAATGGAAATTTTGGCAACCTTTTTACCTATTGGGCAATGATAGAAGACCCGATTCTTTGAGAGCGATTTTAGTGTTTGAGGATCATACTAAGAAAGCTTTACTCATTATCCTTTCTACGAAGGCAGGAAACTGCAACCAATCAACTCCTTGTTTTAAAATATGTACAATCCTTTCTGCTTACTCTCTTGGGAGCGTAATTGAGCTTGGCATTTAAGTGCACAAGGAAAAGGTTTCTAAGGAATGTATCACCTAACAAATAGCCTGAAGATTATACTCAGCTGATGAAGCTTAAACAGATAAAGAATTGAGAACCACGCTTGGTCTTTTTTGGATTATAAATTTGTTAGGACACCACAGAAGTGGTGTCACTCATTGCTCTTAATGTCCTTAAATCCTTTTAAAAATAGTTTCCTCGTTGATAATTTTCTAGAAGTGGGTTTTGCATCCTCTAAACACCTGAGAAAGCTCCCCCCAACATCCTTTACTAAGCTGTTTCTGCCTCTCACTTTAAAAAACATTTTCATATATTCAGAAATACACTGAATTTTTTTCCCCAAGAGCCCTGGAGGCATAAATACTTTAGAATCAAATAAAACAGAATGATGTCTTATGGTAGAGAAAGGACATGGTTCACTCATAGAAAAGTGTTGAATTTCTCACTTTTAAAATATACTTTTTAAAAAACATTGTGGTTAAAAAAAATGTTAAAATACGCTTTCTAATTTCATAATGTCTGGACCAAAGTTAGCCTACTCTGTCCTAGAGAAACTGATGTAGTTTTTTATTTTGCTTTTGAGTGGTGTTATTTTCTTTTGGTTTTGGGAAAGAGAATTAGGCTATAATTATTCCTCTTTTTGTAGTGTTAATGATTCACTTGTTTGTGGTTAAAGGTGCTTGAATAATAGAATCTTCTACATCTTATTTTTCTGAAGTCCCGGGTACTGGAAATGAAAGAAATGTCCATTTCTCTTTAAAGATGAACTTTATAATCAACATTTAGACTTACTTTATTAGAGGAACTTGGTTAGTGTACAGTGTTTCCATCGTATTTTCTTAAGAGGTGTGGTTTTGTATCCTATGCTATTTTTGCCTTTTTGAACTAATCTTTCTTTAAAGTGATGCCAGAATGAAGTGATTCTGCTGATGATTTTTACAATCTTTTAAAGTTATTTTTCTTATTAAGTTATCTAAATAAAATTGGTGGAGAAGAGAAAATACTACTTTTTATTTTGGCTTTTAAATGACAATTGTAATTGGGAAATGCCAAGTGATAATTCTTGTTTGCTATCAGAATTAGGGCTGTATGTCTACAGTAGCACTGTTCAATAGAAATATAATACAAGGCACTTAAGTAATTTAAAATTTTCTAGTAGTTACCTTAACAAAGTAAAAAGAGACAGTTAAAATTAATTTTAATAATGTATTTTATTTAATCCTATATATGTCATTTCAACATGAAATCAATTTTAAAAGTTAATGAAATATTTTACATTATTTAATATTAAATCTACAGAATCTGGTGCGAATTTTATACATAGAGCACATCTCAATTTGGATTAGCCACATTTCAAGGGCCCAGTAGTCCCATGTAGCTAACAGCTACCGTTTTGAGCAGTACGTAGCTATAGGATTGCCATGTGATGTTTAAGATACCTTTCTACCCTGAGAGTCTGATTCTCTGGAGTAAATTTAAAACTCCTCTTCCTGTAGTGCTGTGATATTCAAATTGAGAAGTTCCTATGCAGGAAGAAGTCTCTTCTTAGTGTTGACTGTATTAACATTGAGCTCCATGCTTGTTTTGTCTGCACTGGTGCCCTGTGTTTGTTTAGTGAGGATCATAAGATGAATAGAGTGCTCAGTCATTTCCTGGGATGTCATTGTTACAGTTATTTACATCTGCATGTCAACAGTGTGTCAGGGCATTGTGTGAGTCCTTGTCTCCTAAATCTTTTGGCCTTACATAGGGAGAACTTGACCTACAAACAAGATTGAGTTTACTGTGAACAGGTAGAGTACAGACTTATTTTCTGAATCAGTTTCAGGTATGGTTAAAAGTTTTGTAAATGTGTTTATTTATATGATGGTGTTTCTTATCAAGAAAAACATAAAATCTTTTAGCAAAGTTTAAAAGGAAGAGTGTATATTTTGTGGCTCTAGAACACTGGGAACCTGAGTAGAGCAAAAGAGTAACTTGTGTGTGGTGGTTTAGGGAGAATTTTAAAGGAAATATGGCAGTTTTTTATAGTTACTGACAAACTGCCTAGGTATGTGCTTTAAGTTTTTTTTGCAACAGGGATGGTGATTTGCATGAAACCATCCCTGGTTCAGAGTTGATATAACTGAAAGATAACCCTGAAGCCAACTGTCCTTGGTGGGGATCAGTCAGGCCCATCATTGTTTCTACCTTGACCCTTGTGCTCTAATAAACTTCCCTAAATACTACTTTAGCTGTAGTGTACTACATTTACATTTAATGTCAAAATTAGCCTGGTGGCCTAATTAATATTTACTATAATTTAATACAAGAAACCTGCCCTCTTCCCAACCTTTATGGTATTATATAAAGAAATTTTAAATTACCTGATCAGTAAACAAACTCCCAATATAAAATCTAATCGTTGTAAACCTGGCACAGTGTAGGCATTGTGTGGAGTGTTAGAGGATCAAAAACAGTTGGGGAAGGGATATAGTTATTGGGTGTTGCTTGTTTCATAAGAGAGATGTGCACATTCTATAGGAAAATAATAGTGTTTTCACTTGTATTTAAAACTAGATGGCTGTCTATTGGCACCATTTTAGTTGGATAAGAAAGAAAATGCATTGTTTAGTTCTAACAAATTAGTCTTAGCAAATTTATTTTAGGTATTTGAGGAACAGTAATTGATAATCTGGCAGTTTTCCATTTTTAAAAAAACCCTGATAAGGTTTAAATGGCCTCCAAAAGGATTATATGCTTATTGAGAAATTCTAACTTATTATATATTTCTTCATACTGTTATGTACCATCCTTTCTAATTTAGGGCCTTCAAGATTCACATGAATACAGGTTTTCCTTTATTTTGGAATCATTCCCATGGGGGAAATTATATTTCTTTTTAACCAGAGAATACTTTGTTTTTCAAACATTTGGAATAATTAATTTCTAATATTCTTCAAAGAAATTCATCATTTAGAGAATTCTGAAGTCTTACAATAGCTTGAGATTTCTTCAGTTGTTTTTCTGAATTTTGAGATTCTGCTCTTTAATATGTGTGAACATGGAAACTTTTTGCCATTGTACCACTCAACCCTGCCATGTCTTAGGACTTCAATTTTTCATCATCATTAGCTATGCGGAAAGGAAAGACAGTGTGTGCCTGTCAAAATACTGACAATTCAAGATTATTTTTCCTTTTAGATTCTCTAGGAAGAATTCTGAAACAGTTTGTGGTAAATTTAGTCACCTTTATTAATTTATTTAAAATAGAGATAAGATCTCACCATGTTGCTCAGTCTGGCCTTGAACTCCTGGGTTCAAGTGAGCCCCTTGCCTCAGCTGGGACTACAGGCTCACGCCACCATACCCAGCTAGTCACCTTTTTTGACATTTAAATTGATAGTATCTAGGTGATTATAGGAATTAACATTGTTTTGTAATTGTCATATCTATTAAATTTTCTTATGAGAATAGTTGCCCTGTTTGTTCTGAAAAACCACTACCTGACTAAATAATTCAATTTTTTTTCTGTGTTAGCTGCATTTTGAAAACTCAGTGAATTAAGTGGCTGTCGTTTTCTAACTTGAATGAAAGCAAAGTAACCTTTAAAAATACTTTTTGTAGAGCCCAGGCATTCAAAGCTGCAGTGAGCTATGATCCGGTCACTGTACTCCAGCCTGGGCAATAGAGTG